AACAAAGAAAGCATGGCACATTTGTTGTTCTGGGTCTGGGTTACCTAACTCAGAATGATTGTTTCCAGCTCCTTTCATTTACTTCCAAATTGTACAATTCCATTTGTTTAATAGCTGGATGTTATTGCACTATGTAGATATAGTACCCTTTTTTTTTGCGTCATCCATTCATCAGTTGGTAGAATCTAAGCAGTTTTCATCCCCTAGCTATTGTGAGTACGACAACAATGAACAGGCATGAGCAGATATCTCTGTAGTAGGATGTCAAGTTCATTGAGTGTATACACAAGAGTGGTATAGCTGGATCATAAAGTAGATCTCTCTCTATCCTTTTGGAGAACTTACATACTGATTTCTGAGGAGTCTACACCATTTTGCACACCCACCACTAGTGAATAAGTGCCCCCTTTCCTCACACTCATTTGTTATCATTTCTTTTATCTTAGCTACTCTGAATGTGTTTAGGTGACATCTCAAATTAATTTTAATTTCAATTTCCATGATAACTGAAGATGTTAAATGTGTTTAAACACATTTGTATTTAAACACAAATACATTTACATCTCTTAGCCATTTGTATTTCATTTCTGAGGACTTTCTGATGCCCACAACTTCCTCTCATTCAACACAGTACTTGAAGTCTTACCTGGGACAAAGTGAAATGAGGACACGTGATATGTATATGGTGGATACATTGGTATTACAGGGTATGTTGAGGGAATGGAGGGTCAGCATCAGAGGATTGTAGAAGAGTTTAAGTGTAATTTCCAGAATCTTGTTCTATTCAACCCCACCTTATCCCCACTTGACTTTGACGCTTGAAGTCTTAGATAGAACAAAGTGAAGGGAAGGAGATAAAGATGCTGTAACTAAGAGAAGAAGAAATCCAAGGAACCCTTCTTTGCATTCTGGTTAGTTGAAGAGACTGTTCACAGCAGCAACAGAACTGAGACCTGCCTCTCTTCTATGCACAGATACATATGTTACAGACACGCATTAATAACTGTATAAAAGATTTACAGAAAGAACCTCTAACTAGCAAGCTTCTTATTCTAAAGAAACAACGAGAATTAGGAAACACATTTATTGCCTGGAATTGGAAATTTAGGATCATAAACCTGGAGCACAATTATTGTAAAGCATGGGTCTGTAGATAATGGGCAAAGTGTTCTGAGAGCTTTGTCATGGCTGCCCTGCATGTGTCCTGTGCTCTCTGCCTGTTGCAGTGAGTGATGGGGACAGCATCTGGTGTGACACCTGCTCCACAGTGATGGTATATGATGTCTACTATCTAGTGGCACAGAATGTTAACACAGAGCTCCAATTGTCAAAAGCTACATAATAATGGACAAATATTTCCAAATGTGTGTCAGAAGTTTAGGAAAGTCCTTGAGAAAACATGATTTGTTGCAAGTATCTCTCGAAGCCATAAATTGACTTCACTGTTTCTGTGGGACAGTAAACCCAGCCTTACTGGCACACTGAGAAACGTTCCCCTGGCTCACCAGCTCATTGCTCAGGGGAAATGGATAGAGTAACATAAAGGTCCAACAATCATTCATTCAAGGTTAATTGATCATATACTCTATTCAAGAAAATATGCTTAATGCCACAGAAATTAACACTGACATCAAAGACCTCGTTCTTCTACAGAAAGAGGAACAAATAAATATAACTACATCGATATTACAGGGTATGTTTAGGGGACAGAGAGACAGCATCAGAGGATTATAGAAGAACTGAAGCGTAATTTGCAGAATCTTGTTCCACTCAACTCCACTCTTTGAAAGTAGGGAGTGATGGATGAGGCATTACCATTCAGGGCCACATCCATGTGAGGTTAAAGACAGGCCGTATAGTTGCAAGCACACACAGCAGACAGTGTAGCTTCAATCTTTCAGAAGTTTCTTCTGAATTCTAAAGATAATTTGTTTTATTCAGGAGATGTTGGGAGAAGGTACTTAAAGGTTTCAGCAAATATTGACATAATCATATATGTATTTTTAGAGATCACACGTTAAGTGGTTTTGAGGAGACAGATTGGGTAGTGAGACATGATGATAAATGCTGAGAGTCATGAAGGAAATAATAGCCAGTGAGGGTAGGGCCTAATATATCGGACAACTTTCAAGTTTTACTGATAGAATGTTTTCCTTCTCAAAAGGGGAGGGGGTAACAAGTCAAATCTTACATATTGTAACATTTTAATTTTGACATTTATAGAATCCAGTGACAGTTATTAATAACATATGCTGTTGAAACATTTCTACTGCAACTTAGATCAAGAGAACAAAGTCACACTTAGTAGTATTGCTGAGCCGCTTTGGAATCTGTCAATGTTTTAATACATGATTTGTTATCCTGGGTTAGAATCACAGTAATAAAGAATCTATAAGCACAGACAGCCCTTTTCTGTGCTTTTAAAGTTTCCTTACCAATCGACCAGAACACAGGGCTAGTAATTGTTTTTGCTAAGACCCCAAATCAGCCCCTCTAAGCTTTTACCCCCTATTCTGTATGCAGCCTAACTGAACTGTTTTGAAGGAATAAAATAACGAAGGGGAAAAAAACACATTGACCAGTACATTTTAGTCTTCCAACAAAAGTACAGTTAACAATAATTTTGTCCTAAAAATAACTTATTTGTTTCCACAGACAACGAAGCCACAAGCTGTTGTAGGCAGCGATCCTCACAAGCAGCAGCTGCCCGGCTCTGTGCGACTTCCCACGAGCACACAGAGTCAATGGCAATTAGAGTAGAGGAGGAGAATTATTTTGGGTAACATAACATTTGACAAGTGCTTTAGTAAATAAAATATTGCCAAACAACTAAAATATTTTCACTTTGCTAAAACTTTTCTGGCTTTCTATGTTGGCTTTTCTCAAAGGCGTGAACTGTGAGTTGGAGATGGACGAATGCGAATCCCAGCCATGTCTACACGGTGCCACGTGTCAGGACGCTCTTGGGGGTTACTTCTGTTACTGTGCCCCTGGATTCCTTGGAGACCACTGTGAACTCAACTTTAATGAATGTGAAAGCCAGCCGTGTCTCCATGGTGGTCTATGTGTAGATGGAAGAAACAGGTATGTGTTATGTAGATGACTGATAGGCTGATGGACCAAGCTCTAGTGTACAACTGTGGTAGACTCTGAGCTCTCACATCTTTCATTTGAGTCATGAATTGCATTATGCTTTAAGTAATGAAAAGTTACAGCATTCTGAGTTTACTTGAAAATATTATTGGTTGACATCTGTCCTGAGTGAAGATTTTCTAAAGCATTCTTGTAATGGCTGAGGACTATATATATATATATCATAGAAAAGTACCAACATCTAAAACCCATGTAATAAACCTGTTATAAATAAGAAAGATGCAAAAGCAACGCTATCAATTATTTAAATTGTGAACATAATGTTTATATTTATGAAAATAAGTAAATACATCAAGAGGAAAAATAAATCCTTCAGATTTTGTCAGTAAATGCTGCTCTATGAGCAATAGTATTAAAATGATATATTTTGGCTTTTTAGCTGTTTGGGGAATTTGGTGAATATATTTGACAAAGCATAATATCAGGAAGTATAACTCAATTCTGATCCAAATGAGAGTCTCTCATTGGTTTTCAGGGAAATAGGCAAGTCTACATTATAACTTCATGTGATAAATATAATAAATTTATATAGTATTAGCCAAGTTCACATCAAATACTATATCCCTGTAAAGAACATTGTCATATTTGCTTAGACAGTGAATATTGCATTATGAAGTGTAGGATAATGTTTAATAGCATTGAACTTAGAATCCCTTCCTTTGATACTTGCTCGGTGTGAAGCATGGTATTACATTTCTAAAATTGTAATATATAATGTTCCTCAATTGTAATAAGGAATCTGTAGTAAACAGATGTCATATGTTTCTAAGAGTTCACATCATTAATTTCTTGCAAAAGTAGAAATAAAATCACTTTCCTCTATTTAATAAATCAGATATGAGGCTGAGGATTAAGTTCAGTGGTAGAGTACATGCCTAGGGTGTGTAAAGCCATGAGTTCAATTCCCAATCTGTCATGTGCAGGCACGCGCACACACCCACATACAAAGCAACTCATAACTTAATTTAAATCTAATTTCAAAATGACTGAAACTCATAGAGTGTAATGAAAGGCATGTGTTCTTCAGATATATCCATAAGTTATTTAATAAGATAATATTTTTTTAAAATAGAATAGTGAAGTTGCACATTTCTTTTTAAAAGTATGAAATGTCATTTTAAATCACACCCCATGCTTTGATCTGACTTTTGCTAGCCATCAAATAATGCACCTGTGCTGGGAGACTATACTCCTGAGGACAGCTAACCAGACACCACAGAGAGAGGGGTTGGAATGGCTGAAACTGCCAAGAGAGTGAAAGCCCTCTGCAGTGCATACTGTTCTTTCTAGAGATTATCACAGCAGATAACACAAGGGTTTGGGTTCTGATGGGAAGGACTGGCTGGAAACTTGTGCCCTTTTCATTCTCTATTCTTAAAGGTGTTGTGACTTACTTCTTCATTTTATTGTTATATCTCCTAATATCTAATAGGGGAAAGGATTGACCAATGAGGTTTGAGATTTTTTTTTAATGGTGAAAAAAAGTGTCTATTTAGAATTAGTCATCTGGACTCAGTTTAGAGGATCCCCATCTTGTTAGCAACATCCAGAGCATCATAATCAGGAGCCAAGTGGACATATGCCTTCTTCTCTCCAACAGGCCTTATCAAGGTATTGACTTTGGCCACATCAATGTCATAGAGTTTCTTCATGGCCTGTTTGATCTGGTGCTTTTTGGCCTTGACATCCACAAGTGTGTTGTTGTCCTCTATTTTCTTCATGGCTGACTCAGTGGTCAGTGGGAATTTGATGATAGCATAGTGGTCAAGCTTGTTTCTCCTGGGTGCACTTTTCCGAGAATATTTTGGCTGCCTCCAGAGCCACAGTGTCTTGGGCTGCCGGAAGGTGGGTGACGTTCGGATCTTCTTCTTTATGTGGCTGTGGACGCCTTTCAGCACTGCCTTCTTAGCTTTCAAGGCCTTCGCTTTGACTTCGGCTTTGGGAGGAGCAGGAGCTTCCTTCTTCGCTTTCGGCGCCATCTTGGCGAAAAGCGAGATTATTTTTACACAATAAAAATGAACATCTTTCCTATAATTCATGTGAGAAAATAGATGCTTGCCTACCAAAGGTGATTTTAAATGAAATTTCTAACTCTGCAAACTTAGATGTGTTCCTTTAATATAAGACATGTGTCTGTAATATCTCACATAAAGTAGAGTTTAAATATTTAATCATCATTATTATTTATGGACATGCACACATGCATTGCTGTGTGTATGCATGCATGCATGCATGTGTGTGTGTGCAGGTTTGGGGATTAAACTCAGGTCCCCAGACTTGCACAGCAAGTGACTTCATGTGCTAAAAAAATCTTTCTAGTCCTAGTTTTTAGTATTTTTTAATTAAACAAAACCATGAGCATATTTTTTTTAACTAATTGAGCCATAAAAACCCCGTCCATGGAAATCTGTCATTTCCAGATCTTTAAATAGTCCAGCATCAATGCTTGGTGGTAAATATACACAGCCACAGGGAATGGATTATAAGTGTCCTGTGGTTGAAGCCTCCCCCTTTCTACTTCATGTAAGTTTGCAGATCTACTTTTAATGTTTTACAACACTAAATCCTTGAGAGAGACATCACCTCAATTAAGGGCCACCTTAAATAAAACTCAACAATTGTACCCCAGTAGATTGTGGCACTTGAAATAGATAATAGTCAATGGATGATTAGAAATAGAAAGACCCCTCTCCCACTACCACCACCATGGGTATAGAGACACCTTGTTCATGGTGATGTTCTTATATCAGTCAGGGGCAGAGTAGATGCCTTTCTTCATCCTAGTTTAATGCCTGGCTGGGTGACCAAAATTACCTAATACCTAAGACTCATAAAAATCAAATCAAACCCAGACATCTCAGTGTGGGAAGAAAAAGACAGAGACCTGTGGACCAGACTGCCATGATACCCACAGACCTACATTCCATTGCATGATACAGGTGAGGCATAGACACCTGCTTGCTGGCACACCATGTAGCACAGATGGAGGATGTTACCCAGGGATATGCCAGCTGTGTGGTCAGACTGCAGCAGGAGCCACCACAATGTGTGAGTATATGGTGGTCAGGTGGGAGAGATAAAGGTGTGGAGTGGCTTGAGAATTGTGAAGAGAGATGGAACTGGAGACTGGAGAGTGGAGAGGAGTAGCCTGTTGTCAGTTGACAGCCCCACCACCTGGGACCATGGTGAGGTCCTAGCCAGTGCTGCCTCTAAGAACCAGGTCTGAGTCTGGCTACACAGGAGCAGAGGGCAGGTGTCTAGGACAAGTGTCCAAGGTTCATATTACCACTACATTACATTGAAATGTCCCTGGTCAGGACAGCTACCAATTACCACGTGGATATCCAGGGGCTGTACATAACTGGCCCTGCCCCTCACTGAATGTAGCTCTCTGTAGAGCTGGCCCCCTCTCTTTATCAGCTGCAGTACTCTAGCTAGTGGGCCCAGCACTTTACCTGAGCAACACAGTAGAATTGCTCCTGTTGGCAGGGGTACGGTTGGGCCAGCCCTAGGGGTATGAGAACAGGAGAGCTGACCTCATGCTCCACTTTTAGATACCCTGAAGTAGCCATGGAGAGCTGGATCTGGAGCTTTGAGAGCAGGGGAGCTAGACCTTTCTCCTCATTGGCTGTAACACTCAGAAGAGCAGGGACTGCACTTCCCCTGTGCAATAGCGTGGAGTTGGCCTTGATGGTCAAGGCATGGATAAGCCAGCCTCAAGGCTCACAGGCTGCAGCACTTGGGAGACTGGGCATAAGAGCAGAAGAGCTGACCCTGCCACCTGCTTATGGCAGCATTCCGTGGCCTAAACAAAGCAGAGCTGGAGCGCTTGCCCTGGTAGTGCCAATAAGGGAAAGCCAGAGGTTTGACCCGCTCAGCTACTACCCAGGCCCAGATCCAGGACTCTGAGTTGGTCCACCCCAAAATTTATATCATCTATGAATGATTGGGATGCATGAAAAGATTGATCCTGCTATTCCAAAGCTGCAGGATCTCCATGACTCAAGACAACAAACAGGATAACCAGGAGGGGTCCCAGTGAAGCTCCAGTGTTGATGGTGTCACAGAAGCCAGAGATCTGAAACCAGACCAATGACTCATTGCAATGAACACTTGCAAGTGAAGATTGTGACTAGAGGGATATACTGTGGGACATATTGTGACATACTACAGCTTCCACAATAATATGTTTTCTATGCTTGGTTTGTTTTTTGTTGTTGTTGTTGTTGGTGGTGGTGGTGGTGGTGTGTGTGTGTGTGTGTGTGTGTGTGTGTGTTATTTTGAGGAGGATGGGCAGATATGAGAGGACAGAGAGATGAGCAGATGAGTGGGACTGGGGTGCACAATATGAAACTCACAAAGAGTCAATAAAAGGTTAATAAAAAGAAATAGACTAAAATATTCATGTAATCAAAAAACAACACCATAATCATAATACACTTAATTATGAGTACTTCTATTTAGTAAAAAAATATTAACTTTTATAATACATTTTATTTCGTACAAATTATTACCTACTAACTTCAATAATATTGATAACTTTATTTAGTATACCATTTAAAATAGTAGCCTAGTACCCTGATATACAGGAGATGATGTTACTATTCTTTTATACATATTTAATTATCACAATAATCTTATGATCTAAGTATCATAATCTTATTTATGCCTGAAAAAAACAGCTTCCAAATAGTGTTGCATAAATCTTACTGTCACTTTTTAAGTCAATGCTGAGACAGTGTTGGTGTGGAAACACATAACCATGTAGGTCTACAGAGATAATGCCACGGTGCTTTTGAGGTAAGTATGACTGCTCCACCATCTGTGTCAGGTTGATGGATAAATGGAGACAGGATAAAGAGGGTTGATTTCAAGATGACTAAGAGTTGACGTGAAAATTTCATTTGCTTTCCAGCTACCACTGTGATTGCACAGGTAGTGGATTCACAGGGATGCACTGTGAGTCCTTGATTCCTCTTTGTGGGTCAAAGCCTTGTCACAACAATGCGACTTGCGAAGACACTGTTGACAGCTATACTTGTCACTGCTTGCCTGGTAAGTGACAAATAATGAGTTTTTTGTTTTGTGGGTTTTTTTTATTTTTACTTACACTAGAAACAACTTGCTCTTGAAAGCAAAATGGAAATTATTGACATTGAAGGCACTAAGCCAACACTTCCTTCAGCTTTACTCATTGAGTTGCACTCTTCATTGTCCACACAGTATTGATATTATACTACACACTGTGTAAGACAGACGACCACAGCATCAATAATGACTACAACTCTCTAGGTTCAGAAACATGACAGTGGAAACCTGAATTCCACATAGTTTTCCTGAAGAAACATTCACTGGGGTTGTTTTCATCTACCTATTCTCCTAGACACCAGAAATACATAAAAGCAATGTGTTAACCTTTTTAGAGTTTGTCTTGTAATTCATGAAGTTAGTCAAGCTTATAATTATGCTGCCCAGATAATAGATTGAATGCTTCCCCCAATACATAAAAAAAATACAATGAGCATTCTTTTAAGATCAACAAGAATATAGGTTAAGTACATAAAACTATAATGAAATTGACATATACCTACAGAGTAAAGATGTTACAAGAACCATCAGAAAGCAGTTGGTAGTACTTAAGAAATATTATTGCTAAGTGGAAAATATTTTACTAATTCTGGACAGACAACAACTTGATATATTTTTTAAATTTAACTTTCTTACTAAGATTTTATTAATAGAAATGGCAACTATAGTATTTTCCCTCTCTTCTTTTTTAATCCACTGAGAAAAAATGAAAATTTATAAATACTTCATATTGTATCATATAGTCTATCTGCTTATCTATCACTGTTTCCACTGATTTTTTTCTTGTTTTAAAAAAAAAGAGTTAACTCTCTATTGGAAAGCAGTCATGAAATCAACCAATCCAGTTAGTCACGCCTTCTGGTTAAGAAATATTTATTGTCTAGAGAATACTCACTGACATTTTTTTATCAATGTACAAAAAGAAGTTGCAAATTCCTTGGTTTGCAAATGTCAGTATACTTTATTTTCCTGTTTCAGAAAATGAATAGGAGGTACCTGCTGTCCTCTGGTCATCATTATGCTATTAAATACTGGTTTAATAAAAAAACTCTATCATCCTGTATTCTCATCACAAGAAATTCAGTGTGAATGACACATTTACAAGTATCTGGGAGTCAAAAGTGCATATCTAATTCTGACAGGAAACAGTATGGTAAAATACAAGTTGGATGCATTAAGGAATTATCATGAAACTATATTAAAGAAAATATTACCATTTAGATAATATGACTGAACATATATCATAAATGGACTCATTGACTCTGGACAAGTAATAAAGCTACTCTTACGACTGATAACTTCACTCATAAAAAAGAGTGTTGACAATAATGTTCACCACCTTGAGTTGTTTTAGAAAAAAAGTCCAGTAATGAAATATAAGGATCTTAGGTCACCTTAGAACATAAAGGTCACTCAACAAACACCAACTTGTTAGTAAAATTAGGTTGATCATTCTATGCACCAAGATTACCACCAAGCAGCATGTTATCTGTTTTAAGAGAGGAGGGAGAGAGGGAGGAAGGGAGGGAGGGAGGGAGG